ATTTGGGAAGAATTCAATTGAAGGTTAAATCCACCTATGACCATCCAACTTTATACTGGTGTCACTATAGCCACTCAACTTTATACTTAGTATCACCATGGCTACCCAATTTGATTTTATTTCACCATGGCCACCAAACTTCTTTTCACAATTTTCATTAATTTTAAAAAGGGTAAATGGTAAATTTGTATTATATATAAATATATATTACCCCTTTTAAAATTAGTGAAAATAAATTAGGTGACCATGGTGAAATATTATATGAAATTAGATGGCCATAGTGAAACGTTATATGAAATTGGGTGGTCATGGTGAAACGTTATATGAAATTAGGTGGCCATAGTGATACTAAATATAAAGCTGGAAGGTCATATTAAAATAAAATCAAATTGAGTGACCATAATGGCACAAATATAAAGTTGGGTGGTCTTTAGTGAATTTAACAAATTCAATTAAGGGATAGGATGAGGTGGCGTGGGGTAGAGTGTGTGGGGCATGTGGGATGGGGGCGAGGTAGGAACATCTAAATTTTGAAATATAAATCTTTGTATTTGAAATTTGAAATGTGAATTTAAGAATTAGGTTTGTGGGTAATTTTCCCTCAAATCTTCCTACTTGCAAGAGAACCGGTGATATCTTTAGATAGAGGAGATGTGCTAGAGGTACATAATAGACACCATTATGGTGCTCTAATACATGTTCCTCTTATTGGGGATTAGATAATGTATGTTGCAATATTTATTGACTCCCACACAATCTGGTTTATATTTTCACAATTTAGACAAAGATTTTTGTACTATAACAAGAAATTTGTTACATGAATTATTTTTCTCCACTTTAGTCTATTTAGTATTGTATTTATTAACATGTTCAACCTAGTACAAAAAAATTAAATCTTTTTCCCTCTTTATTGATATTTAGTACAATCTAGTCTAGTAAATTATTTGAAGACTATAATACAGCATTGATATCAAAGACCGTGTTTGTTACGACTTTCCCAATCACCATTCAATTCTATCCAGCCTATATATTACAATTTTCATTATGTTTACTTCCAATATCAATACAAAGCGAGGCCATGTATATGGGTAAAAGCTTCGATTCAAAGGTAATCATAAAACTGAGAAAGAAACGAAAGCAAGATAGTTGAATTTCCGAAATATGATTCAAACATCTTAAATACTTTAGCAAAAGTGATGTCAACAAGATTATGTCGGTTATAATTTGAACTACAACAATAATTTCAAGACATTCTTCGATCCATTATATAACATTTTTCACTTTATGAGCATGTCGAGCTAGCATGCGAGACTTGAAAACATATTGGCCACAGATAAAAAAATCGGATGAAACAAATGGGCCCTCCTAAACTGGGATCCACATGGATAGCGAAACACAACAACTTTAATAAAATAGATAGAACTCTAGACTGTAACTCACGAAATAGTGAACATGCCAACCTGGATGAAACATGAGTCTCATTTTTCTAGACGAGAACCCACGTGGTTGTCGAACATTATAACTTGGTTGATACAAATGGGCCCCCTTCTTCCAGACTGGAACTCACTTGGATAGTGAACACGATAATCCTCGTGAAACATATGGAAACCCTTCTTCCAGATTGAAACTCACTTGGATAACGTACATGACAACCTGTATATTAGCTTAATATCTTGGATTGAAATATCCTACTATCAAGAAACCGACGATAATTTTAGGTAAAACACGTTGAGATATTTATTGACTCTCACTCAATCTGGTTTAGATTTCCATAATTTAGAATAAGATTTTTGTAATATTACAATAAATTTGTAACTTTAGTCTATTTGATATTGTATTTATTAACATGTTCAATGTTATAAAATTGTTTAGATTTTTGTAAAAATGTCCTGCTAAAGCATAAAAATGTTTACTTTTAATTATGTTTAATTGTGTGTAAATAATTTATGTTAAACAAAGAAAAAATAATTTATCCACACTCAGTGTTAAAATAAATTTTAAACTTAGCCAACTATGTTGACCAAATACCATGTTTGCTATAAATGAACGAACATAACTCTACAAGCTTTTTTCTTTTGTAATCATATCATATAGTATCCAATCTAGTGGATGGTATCAATATTGAAATAAAGCATTAAAACAAAATATTAAAAAATTTCCTCTTTATTTATAGTTAGTCAAATCTAGTCTGGTAAATTATTTTGAAAACTATAATAATGCATTGGTATTAAAGATAGTGTTTACTACTACTTACCTCAATCGCCATTCAATGCTATGCAGCCTAACATAGTAACTCATTGTTTGAGTCCCATTTTTCAAAATTCGTATTTTTTTTTCGAACTCATTTTCAGTTACATATTTTTTCAATTTAATAATTTTGCACGTAAACTAAAATTTTTTCCATAAACATTCAACACACATTCTAAAAAATTATTTTATTTTTTTATAAATTCTACTCAAAAAATAGGGCTCAAACACGAACTAAATATGTCCGAAAAAACTCGTACCAAACACTCCACCTTGACAGCGATGGCAAATTTTTCGCCTCCGATATGCTCCGCATTATCTCGTCCCGAATGGTAAACGGGAAATTCCCTGAACTTGATCCGAATATTATTATTTCATGCTTTTTAAATTTAAATTATATTTAAAAAATTGAAGAAAATATATAAAAGTGGATAAATAATTAAACGAGATGATTTTTTAATTCTGTCCACTCGACTGGATGTAATGGTAATAGTCATCCCAATTATATCGCAACCCGTTGTCATCCCTACACCCACATCCCATCACATTGAATTGAAACCACCTAGTCCCATCACCCCCATTCACGTCCTTAAATGTGCAACAAATTTAAACATATAGAATCAACTTGCTCTTTCGAATATGTTGAGACGAAACGCAACTTGTGTATAAGAGAGCTAATACATTTTCTTCAATATTGTCTCATCCAACGTACCAGAAACAAGTCGAATCGATTTCTATTTCTTTTACAACAAAATTGAACAACTCTTGGTGAAGATAGTGGACAAACATAAAAACATAGGCGTGCATGTACAGACAACATTATATTTTTGGATTTTGGGACTTTTGTGTACAGAAATGGAATGGACAAGTCAGGTAAGAGAGTTATTAATATGGACACCAAATGAAGTAAGGCAAAACTACTGGTCAAAATGCCCTCACATGAAAAAGGTACAACTGCACAATTAAAGCATACCTGGCATCAAAAAGAGATTGTACGTCTACCGATTCTATACACGTGTACGGCCAGGGTGCAATTTTACAAATAATAGTGCACGCTTAGAAATAGAAGGGAGTCATTTTCACAACCGTGAATCCCATTTTCAACAATTTTTCATCAGAAAAAGAATTTGATCTTTATACGAGACCCAAACTTTCTTTACTTTGATGAAAATTTTTCGATTTTTGTTTGTATAATTTGAAGGATGTACCTATCCCCGATAATTTATAATGGAATGTGAATGACTCCCTATTCACTCGATTTTTGGTTCATAATCATTACGTAAAAAACATTGAACTCGTAGATGATGCGAGAAATATATACTTGTTCAACTATTCTCGAATGATAGTGAAAATTAGTAATGTTGTATACCACTATCGGTGTTTAAATATCATTTTATGTAACAATAAATGAAAAATTAATTAAATATGTTTTTTTAATTCTTAACGTGTAATTTAATACTTACACAACATTATTTGTGAAAGTAAAACATCGTCCGAATACAACCCACAATAATATTAAATTCTTAACAAATCGCTGGAACATTTTTTTTCAATTCAAGTAATGCTCGAATTTATGCTTGGGTAATTCGAGCAACATTCAATTATATGTTCATCGGCTATACCTTTCGGTATGATCTTAAATCTCGACTCACCTTCCATGGAAGAACCTTACATAGGAATCCTGAGATTTTCGGGGCATATATGTGAGTCTCGCCAAAACAAATTATTCAAATATTACACGAGAGTAAGTATTTCTGATAACATGCTAAATTATTTTATTTATTGTCATAGTTCACTTTTGTCTTTAATGCATTTTATTTCTATCCTTTTTTTTTTTTTTGAATTTTATCGATTAATACAATCTAATTTATTAGCGTCGAATATAATCGGCGTTCTCACTTACTTTTTAAGTTTCATAATTACTTCATATAAATTAAATATGGACTTTGATTCCATATAAATCGAGCAATGTTGCTTGTATTCAATCTCTCTTAGCCCCCATTTGTTTCTCATTTTTCATCCATAAAAATGAAAAATATGACCATTATCCATTACACTAAGTCATCAATTTTGAATTTCTATCTTTTGTGTGGAGCCCAATAACGATTATATTTTCCACTCTCATTCTACAATAATAAGAATCAAACGGGCACTTGTATTGAACAAGGCATAATTATAACATAAATTTCTTGTTAGTTTCCCTAAATAATAATAATAATAATAAAACAATTTATAGAATCGTGTTATTTTCTTATGAAATTATTTCAAAATTTACACAGTTCATTATTTCTCCAGAAAGGGCATTTTTGTAACTTCACACTAGCTTTTTCCATCAAACTTTCTTGTCTCTTAAAACAAGGTCGTGAACCAGGCAAGTTCATTTGTTTTTATAACATTCTCGCCTTTCTCTCTCTATATACACACAGATACATCCATATATACTCCTCTCTCTATAAATACACACATACACACACAGACCAAGACCCTAGATGGATAGTGGTAGTAGTGGGTAGTAGGTGTGTTCAACGTAGAGTCTAGAGAGAGAGAGAATACAGAGAGTTTGGCAATGTTCTTGTGTAACGAGAACCTAGAGAGAGAGAGCCTATATATTGATTTGAATCTGTAGAAACTAGAAATGGTAGATATCATCAACAAGGGAAAATTTCATTGACAAGTGCAAATCTTACTCGCCGGTAAACAACCACCTTGATCCTGTTTTTATTGAAGCTGGTTTGCCGGTTAAATATACCACCATGGACGAAAGTGGTTTTCATAGGTTTCCGGGACATCTCGACCCTAGGGCTCAAGAATTCTTCCCCACCGTCACTTTACCTTTACTACCGCTCCAAATTTACTATCCACACCCATCTCCGCCACCTATGCCGCCGCCGCACATGGGGTACGCCCAGCAGCAGTTCTGCAACCCACCGCCGCCACCGGTATATGTAACCCCTGTTGATCCACAGCCGATTCCGGTTGCTTTACCCCCTTCCTCGTCGACGCCGACGAGGACTCTGATTCTCAGCATGGTTCCGACTGACGTTAGCGAGTCGACGGTGAGGCGAGAATTGGAAGTGTTCGGTGATGTTCGGGCCGTACAAATGGAGCGGCTGAGGGAGGGGGTGGTGACGGTGCATTTCTACGACGTGAGGGACTCTCAGGCGGCTTTAATGGCAATACAAGAGCAGCACATGCAGCATCAGTGCAGGCTGGGACACCATTACGAAGCTCTTTTGCAGGCTCAAAATAATTCAATTCCTTTGATGCCTGTACCTATTCCGCCGCTTCCTCCACCGGCGCGTGGACTTATTTCCGGCCGTGTTGTGTGGGCCCAGTTTACCTCTCCGATGACATCCGCCCTCCCCGGTGGAACCAATCAAGGCACCATTGTCATATTCAATCTAGACCCTCAAGTTTCCGCCAACAATCTCAAAGAAATTTTCGAAGTCTTCGGTATGAATATATGTATTTTATGTGTGTTTATGTATATGTATTCATTTTTGTGTTCCTATGTATATATGTATACATCTTTGACTAATCAGGGTGTAATAATTATGAAGTTCATGAGATCTATAGTAAGATTATGTGGGGGCAATAAGTGTTTTTATTTTTACTTATTGCTGTGACATTTTCTTAAAAAATAATTGTGTTTTCTGTAAAATAAAAATTCCATTTGTGTTGGTTTTCAATAGCTTAAATGAATTTGCAGGCCCCGTGAAGGAATTGAGAGAGACACCCAATAAGAAAAACCAAAGGTTCGTGGAGTTCTATGATGTAAGAAATGCAGCAAAGGCTGTTGCAGGGATGAATGGCAAGGAAATTTATGGCAAACAAATCGTGATTGAATTCAGCAGACCCGGTGGAAGGTTACCCCGGCTCTCTCAAATCAGTCGAGTCAGTTCTTCAAGAAATTACTGGTCAAGAAATTCTCCAATTCCACCACCATCTCCTCCTCCACCGCGCCAGCACAGAATACCTGGCCGGGCGCTGACCAATGAGCCGCCAAGAAGTTACAATTCAAGAACTGAATTGTCTAAGAAATCGAGTTTTTTCAGTGGTGGCAGCAAGAGTTCAAGTAGTGGTTCGCTTCGAGAATCAGTGGCTTCTTTGTATATTGGTGGATGTGAAGAGTCTTGTAATATTACAAGGCCACCAAGCAAGAAGAATTCCAACAAGAATAAGAATGAAAGGAGCACTGGTGGTGGGAACGGCAGCAGTGGTAGTGGTGCAAATTCGAAGACTAAGAGTGGGCGATGGAAGAGCGGTGGCAGTAGTGGTGGTGGTGCAAAACACGGTAGAGATTATGATCCTCGGTTTTTGATCAACGAAGATGCGATTATGGAATCGAATTGCAGAGATTCCAGAACTACTGTCATGATAAAAAACATCCCCAACAAGTACAGGTCTGTGTTGTCTCCTCTACCTCATTTTAGCAGGCTTGCTTGCTCTTCTAGCCAAAATATTCTTCATTCCATTTTGCCCTCGAAAACCCGCCAAAAATATTATCGAAAAAGAATCAGATTATTACTTATTTTTGGATAATTTGACTTATTTTCTTGTGCAGTCAGAAGCTGCTTCTGAACATGCTGGACAACCACTGCATTCACTGCAATGAACAGATTGCCGACGGCGATGATGAGCCATTGTCCGCTTACGATTTCGTCTATCTCCCTATTGATTTCATGTAAATTTTATTTAATTAAAAACATACTTAATTATCTTAAAAGATAAATTGAGAAATAATTATTTATGTTTTTGTTTTGCAGAAACAAGTGCAATGTGGGTTATGGTTTTGTTAATATGACCTCCCCAGAGGCAACATTTAGACTCTACAAAGCATTTCATAATCAAAGCTGGGAAGTTTTCAATTCTAGAAAAATTTGTGAAGTCACCTATGCTAGATTACAGGTATTTTCACGGTTAACCATCTCCTTTAAAAAATTTAGTGAGAGCACAATTTTCGTTAAATGAGTGTGTGTATATTTTATGTGAAATGGATGAAGGGAATAGAAGCATTGAGAGAGCATTTCAAGAATTCAAAGTTCCCGGAGGATGCGGAGGAGTACATGCCGGTGTTGTTTTCACCGCCGCGAGATGGGCTGAGATTGACGGAGCCAATGCCAATAGTTACAGGAGGTGGCTGTGGAGGACGTTCGATTAGTAGCGGTAGTCCACCTCCGCTGCTTCTGTCTTCATCATCTCCCGCCGCCAGTACCCAGGAATCAGAATCCAGTTATGACCATAATATTGAATACAGCGAAGATATTGTAGAAGTAAATAGTGTTGTCGGTCATGATTATGAGGTGGCGCGTGACAGAAGCAACCCCTCAAACGGCGGCGATAGTGGAGGCTGCAGCTGCTGACGGAAGAGATTATGTGATTTACAGATTTCGTGATGGAGTTTGTTCACCATTATCGAAGCCATACTGTTATTACAAGTGCCTTTCCCCAACCCCCACCCCACCCCCATCAAAGGCACGATAGCTCTTTTAACTGGCAAAATCAGCTCCCACCCGCCAATGGCTTTGCATGTTGAGTTCCGAGCCACCCTCCAACCCACCCTACAAAAATAGCAAAAATTTGAAGCTTTGCATTTTGTATCATATAATAGTGTTGTTATTAGGTTCTATTAATTTCATTTGCTGTAAGTTTAATGTTTTTGTCTGTGTTTTCTGAAGACAGAATTGGTAGTGAAACTTGTGTTTTTGGCGAGGGAAATTGCAATTTTTTTTTTTTTAATTATTGTCACATAATATTAATTTGGAATTAAATAATGTGTCATTGGAAACATTCAAGGCATCTCTTGATGGGCAGTTTGAACGTTCGAATTTCAATGAAATAATTGAGAAAAAGCAGTGTGAAACCCACCTGGCTGCGACATTGGACCTCTATTTAAATTTTTAAAATGTGAATTTTAGAATTGAATTAGGTAGAATATTCATGTGGTACGTTCTCAGGGTTCTCAGGTTTTGCATGCGTGATAAATGTTTCTTATGTTTCTCCAAATAAAGCTCTTCGCATCGCAATGTCTATTGTGTCCCAATTGAATGTAGGATTACTGTAATTGACCCTATTGAGTTCGCGGGCGTGGAACTCAGCAATTACACCTATTCAATTCAATCCAAATTTATCAAGTTACTCTAATATGTAACTTCAATGAAATCGGAATAGGTCCGTATACTACTACATTCGTATGAAATTGAATCATGTTCAAGCAAGAAGGCGAGGGTATGCCCTTGTGGGATTTTAGATATAACATTATTAACTAGATAGACATCGACCTACATGCTTCAAGAAGACTATTATGGAAATGATGACTTTCTTAACCTCCGTGGACTTGGTTGAACATAGGGCACATCTTGAGAATGTGAAAGGGTGGTGCGATCACCCAAGACGCCATAATTATAGCAGCACCCCGCCTATGATTAGTTACTCCATCCGTCTCAATTATATATGTTTGTTTAGTTTTTCACACGGATTAAGAAATCTTCTTTAATGTCATAGGAAAATTAATTTTTGTCAAGATCTTTCCTCCTTTACCCCTATTGAATTTTCAACCTGTAAAACTAAATTATTGTTGGAATTGATAAAGAATTTGAAATTCTTCTCCTTTACTCTCAACAAGTATGTTTCCAAGAGATTGAGAAATATGTGTATTTTGATGATTTCAAGAAGTTGGCATATTAAGTGGGAAAAATTTAATAAGGATATATTGGTAAATGAACACAACAAAATATTCTACATTAAGAAACATGCATATATATTTGGGATAAGGGAAAAAGAAAACTCAACATATATAATTGGGACGGATGGAATATATACTTACTCCAGTCCCATTTATATAAGTTTGTTTTGTTTTTCACACGGATTAAGAAATTTTATTTAATGTTATCGAAAAAATATTTTTTGCCAAAAACTTTTCTAATTTACCATCATTTAATTATCAATAACTAGTACTCCCTCCATCCCAATTATATAGGCTACGGTTCTTTTTTCTCTTATTTCAAATATATAGGCTTGTTTCCTAATGTAGAATATTTTGTTATTTTTTTTACCAATATATTCTTATTAAATTTTCACAATTTAATATGCCAACTTGAAATCATCCAAATACACACATTTCCCACTTCTGGAAACATGGAACAATTCTCATTTCTTTTTCTTCTTCAAATTCGTTATTAGTTCAAACAATAATTTATTTTTATATACTGAAAATTAAATATTGGTAAACTAGTAAAGATCTTGGCAAAAATTAATTTTCCAATGACATTAAAAAAGCTTTCTTAATTTGTGTGAAAAACGAAACAACCATATATATTTAGGATGAAGGGAGTAGTAAATTATTATTGAAAGTATTAAAAAATAAAGGTATATTAGTAAACGAACAAAATAAAACATTCTTAATAAAGAAAGAAAACTATATAATTGAGACAATGAAATAAGGAAAATGAGCATATATAAATGGAACAGATGGAGTATATGTTTCAATAATTTGACGATTTTTAAAAA